ATTATCTTTTAAAGAAATAAACATAAATTAAGATATTTTATTATTGTGCATAAATTTATTTTGTATGAATAAGTATAGTTTTATATGCATTATATAATGGCCAGATAAAAACCACTTTGTTTTGTTTATTTGTTTAAATGCAAAATTAGTTTTTTGAGTGCATTTTTCCTAGAAAAACCGTTGAGATCACAAGCTAGCTAATGACAATATACTGTATATAAATAGGCATAGCTCCTCCATCTATTTTCCACATAAGTCAGAAATGTAAATTATAATTTTGTAAAGAAATAAATGTTATATAAATGTTAGCGAATAGTTTTATTTCGTTATTTTTTATTTCAAATATTCCCCGATTTGTTGTTCAATCAATTTGTGAGCGTTTTTCAAACTCTGGGTATCCGATGGTTTTGAGCCAAACATATCCTGGCAATGGGTGTAGTCATCAATCATCACAGCTTTAGTACTGTTATTGAGGTCTTTAAGGACACTGAGTGCGTGCCAGGGGTCGTCCGACCCGTTAGGGAACACCACGTTTGTAACGTTTGGCTTTAGGCCCCCGTAGTTGGCGTTCGTCCGGTCGACCCCTTTCTGTATACTTTGAGCCGTGAATTGTGGACCAAATATATCAGTGCACTGTTGGGTATAGTATTCAATGGGAATCAAATTCGCAAACGGACTGTTCGGGAGGTTAGAGGTTTGATAGTAACCAAATTCAGTGCACGTCTGATAAGCCCACTGTCGCGCTAGTAATGCATGAATATAAAATAATTGAATATTTAATTTATATATGTAATTAATAACTTAAATTATAATTTGCAATGGTAAATTGTATAATAGAAGTGACCTACTGCCCGAATTATCAATAATGGTGCGTTTCAAAGGTCCAATCAGATCATCATAGGTAACGTTATGACACGGGCCGGGGTGTGGGTCCCGACCGCCGGCTAATCTTTCCAATGGCGTACCGCCTGAGGGGTCGTTCATTGTCTCAATGATACCGTCGATACCGTCATTGAAGTACTGAAACGTAACGGCAAACCCGAGGAACAAACCCTCCGCGAAATACCAATTATTTTGTTTATTTTTGCCGTCAAAAGTATCGCAAATATTAAATAATTTGCGTAATTTTGATACACCTTCCGGTGTTTTCAGCAGGTTTTCAATCTCGAGCGATGCGTTTCTATAGGATTTATGTTGTATTTAAGTACCAGTAACTTAATTAATAAATTATAATAATTGTATGTTATACAATATTATAAAGTTTACATGTTGTACATGAAAAACCATATTGTACAAGTAAAATTTTATATTCTATTATACATGTAGATATATTACAAACTCATACCTAATATTATCGGAACATTCCTTTCCCAACCTCTCGCTCATGACTCCTAAATACCCCGTATTGTCGACGACAGCCTCGACGGGAGCGCTCGACGCAATGGCACCGACAGCTATGTTGGGGTACTTCTCCCTAAACCAGGCCGCGAGAGCGCCCGCATACGAGCCCCCGAACACAACCCATTTGCTGCCTTCAAGTGATAACTTTTTGGTCAAATACAGCGCAAACTGTTCCGTGTCTTTCAGCGCCATTTCACTCGACAAGTATTTCATGTTTTCAACCGTGAGGTCTGGTGTGGGCAAAGAGTTTCCGTAATACCTGTGCTCTAACGTGACGGCCAGAGCGCCATACTTTTCAGCCATTTCAACCATGAATAAGAAGGGGCTTAAAGATGCGTCGCCCGCCCCCTCGCCACCAATCATGAGAAACACTGGTCCACCAGTTTTATGGTAAGTATCGTCCATGAAATAAAACTTTTGATTTGGTTATTATAATAACTTATTAGTATAATTTGATTATACAATTAACTTACATACATGCCTATATTAATATGTAAGTGAAATTCAAAACATCATTTACCTGTTTAAAAGTTTTATTATCTTGTTTATTAAAATGGTCAATTTTCTGGTCATAATATAGAGCATCCGTATAAAACTGATCAGGTTTAGGAATGACCGGCGGCCTAACCATACCGTACTTGTCTGTCGGTCGACCTCTAAATAATTTAAAGCCCACATTAGGCTCGCAATACACGCAACATGTGATTGCAAAAAATAGTATAAAAGTTTTATAATTCATATTTAAAGTATATTTTGTAACTTTAAGATAATGTAAACAAAAAAACAGTAATAACACTATTCTATATATCTATATAATTTTGCCAACTAATTAAAAAACACTTAAATCCTGTTGGGCAATTATAAAAAATGTATTGATATTTAAACTTAATGATTTAGTTTGCTTGGGGTAGTATTTAACATGGATAAGTTTAAAGCAATCGACGATTTGATAATTATATAAACAATTCTTGGAATATACGGTCCAGTATAATTATCACAGTGAATAAGTGCACATGTTCATTTATTTCAATTAGTATTGCACCTGCAATTAGATCGTGCTGGTGAAGGGCAAGGTAGTTAGATAAATCATATGAAACAATGGGTACTGTACTCAATGTCTCAAATTGAATTATCATGTTTGTATAAACTTATTATGTCCAGTTTATCACAAAACTTTCTGGCATGTTTTATATTAGATTATAAAATTATCTACAAATATTTGAATAATGAATAGTGTTTTAAAATAGTTTAGAACTGTATATCGCAGAAATACCTCAATATATAATATAAAAATCACTAATGTATGACCAATCTATTGAACTAGTAATAAGAATATAAAATACATTTAAATTGTATATTTGTATATTTAAAATTTAATATTTAAACTACTAGGCAATAAAATGTACTAATTTACCAATATTAATAATTTTATTAAACTATTTATTTATTTCAAATAATTTGTGATTTGTTGATCAATTATTTTGTGAGCGTCTTTCAAACTCTGTTTATCAGTTGTTCGCGAGCCATACATATCTCCGCAATGGGAATAGCCCTCAACCATAACAGCTTTGGTACTGTTATTGAGGTCTTTAAGGACACTGAGTGCGTGCCAGGGGTCGAGTGACCCGTTAGGGAACACCACGTTTGTTACGTTTGGCTTTAGTCCCCCGTAATAGGCATTCGTCCGGTCGACCGCTTTCTGTATGCTTTGAGCCGTGAATTGAGGGCCATATATGTCAGCGCACTGTTGGATATAAAACTCGACGGGAATGTTGTGTCCGAAGATACTGTTCGGGAGATCAGAGGTTTGATAGTAACCAAATTCAGTACACGTCTGATAAGTCCATTGTCTCACTGATAATACATTGAAATATATTCATATTTAATAAGTATTAATTAAAATAACATAAAATAATTTGGAAAAAATAATAACTTCTATAACTTACTCCCCTGGGGATCGATCGATGTCTTTTTCAATGGTCCGATTAGATCCTCATACTTAACATCACTGCAGCCAACTGTATGAGAGCCCACACCGTGTAGTCTGGCATACCTTTCCAGTGGTGTACCGCCTGAGGGGTCGTTCATTGTTTTAACGATTCCAGAGATACCCATATTATACTGAACGGTAACGGCTATACTCCACATCATTTCCTCCGCTAAATACCGATTATTGTTGACATTTTTGCCGTCAAAAGTGTCGCATAAATTCAATGTTTTGCGTAATTTTATTACACCTTCAGATGTTTTCAAAAGGTTTTCCATATCAATGTGGGCTTTCCTATAGAATAACATCAAATTAAATAAAATGCTAGAATAGTTGCAATAGAATTCACATGTGCTGTTCATTACTTTATACAGTAGTGACCAATACAGTGATGTTCTAACAGTATAGACATAACATTTATGATTTAACAACAGTAATTTAAAATTGTATTTTAATAGATATAGATGTATACCTGATATTGTCGGCGCACTCCTTACCCAAAGACTCGCCAACGACTCCCAAATACCCCATATTGTCAACCGCGGCCTCGACGGGTGCGCTCGACGCTATGGCACCGACAGCTATGTTGGGGTACTTCTCCCTAAACCAAGCAGCTAAATTGCCCGCATACGAGCCCCCGAACACAACCCATTTGTTACCCTCAAGTGATAATTTTTTGATCAAATATAGCGCTAACTGTTCCGTGTCTTTCAGCGCCAATTCACTCGACAGGTATTTCAAATTTTCAAGCGTCAGGTCTTTTGTGGGAATGGAGTTTCCGTAATACCTGTGCTCTATCGCTACGGCCAATGCTCCGTACTTTTTGGCCATTTCTCCCATAAACATGCCGTTTACGTAAGATGTGTCGATCGCACCCTCACCACCAATCATTAAAAATACTGGTCCACCAGTTTTATGGTGAGAATCGTCCACATAATACAACTTATCATGATAATATTAATTTCATAATAAATTATATAAATATTTTAATTGCTTAATCATGTAGAATTAAATTTAAATGATTAATAACTAACCTGTTTGAAAGTTTTATTGTTTTGTTTGTCAAAATGGTCAATTTTCTGATCATAATATTGCGCTATCACTTTCGACTGATCACGTTTAGTGACGACCGGCGGCCTAACCATACCGTACTTATCTGTCGGTCGACCCCTAAATAACTTAAAGCCCACATTAGGCTCGCAGTGCACGCAACATATGATTGCAAAAAATAATATAAATATTTTGTAATTCATATTGTAATTATGTTTTGTATTATAACTTTAAAATAATTAAAAGTATAATAAGATATATTTAATGCAAATCCATTTCTTTATATAATAATTTTGTAAAACATTTCATAACTATTGTGTAATTATAATTATTTATTTTTAATCACGATCATTTGATATAAATTACTGTATATTTTTCGTGGGGGACAGTAGTTAGTTAGTAATATAAAAAGTTCAAAAACAATCGATATTAAATACCAGGAATGTACTGTTATTGATATCTTGAAGAATATATGCACATGTTCAATTTATTTTTAAATAGGCATAACTTATAATGGGCATAAGTGTTACAAATAACAAACTATAATGATCAAAAACCAGCTATCTATTGATAACCAGATAACTTTTGCTGCGTTCATTTGTTATTTGCCTATGTAAACCAAATTATAAAATTAAGCTTATTACCTGCAAAGTACTGTACTAACGCATATTTTAATAAATGTTTTATTCATGAGTATATTATACTTATAGCTTTGCTTTGCAAAACTTGTTAATTAATGAAATCAAAATTAAATATGACATTCATTGCCAATAATGAAATGTATGGCACCTGTGATATCAGATATGAGCATCAAAACGCGGTAGGGCCACTTTAGTGCCACTTTTATGCTATTATTTATACTCATCTATACCATTATAAACAATGATTCATATATATAGTAACATTAATTTACAATTGGGGTTTTAATTATAAACTAATATTGAATTATTTTTATATTAAAGGGCACACTATAACTAAAAATAGCGTAACATTTATCATGAGTAGTTTTAAATAAATAACCAAGTTCAAACAATATTCACGTCTAACTATTCTAAGTCATGAGTAGTAATGGATATGAGTGAACGGTTGGTCTCTAGAAATATCTACAAATTACCGACAATTAAAGTTAAAAACAAGATAAAAAGTTGGAATCATAATGAATTATAATGAAATCTGACTAGGGTGCTTGTGTTTAAATGAAAGTAATAGATTAATATTTTTTCCAAGTGTTTTAAAAATGTAATCTAATGATATTATATTTACTCTAAATCAAATCAAAACTAAACTAAAACTCAAAATTATATATATTTTTTCAATCGCAAAATGTGAATTAAGAAATTTTTAATAACAACAAATGATGAAAAATATGTTAGAAAATTAAACACAACTTATCATAATTATTTTAATTGAATTATTTATTTATTTCAAATATTCGCCGATTTGTTGGTCAATTAATTTATGAGTATTTTTAACGCTTTCGGATTCGTGTGGATTAGAGGCCCACATATCTCCACAATGACCCCCGCCTTCAATCATCACAGCTTTAGTACTATTATTAAGGTCTTTAAGTATACCGAGTGAGTGCCAGGGGTCGAGTGACCCGTTAGGGAACACCACGTTTGTCACGTTTGGCTTAAGGGCCCCGTAATAGGCATTAGTCAGATCGACAGCTTTCTGTATGCTTTGTGGCGTAAAGTCTGATCCGTATACTTGAGCGCACTGTTGGGTAAAGTGCTCGACGGGAATGCTGTGACCGAAAGGACTGTTCGGGAGATCACTCGACTGATAGTAACCGAATTCAGTGCACGTCTGATATATCCATTGTCTCACTAATTATTATACATTGTAATAAATTTGTTGATAAATAATTAAAACGTGTTAATACATATAAAAAGCAATATTTGATTACATACTAAATCCAAAATCCGTTGGATCAATGGTAGTGTTTTTCAAGGGTGCGATTCTGTCCTCGTAGTGGACGTTGTGACATATAGAGCCGCCTATGATTCCCGAGGCTTTGGCATACCTTTGCAATGGTGTGCCGACTGATGTGTCATTCATTATACCGCGGATCCTATCGATGCCGGTCTTGAACATAGCGTCGCTAACAATAGACCACATCATTTGTTCCGCCAGATAATGATTATTATTAATATTTTTGCCATCAAAAGTGTCGCATAAATGCAATGTTTTGCGTAATTTAATCACACCTTCCGGTGTTTTCAGAAGCTCTTCCATCTCTAGAGAGGCTTTCCTATTGATTCACACAATAGTATGCATTAAAGTATTATTAATATTAATTTAGTGAACAATTTTATTAATATTATACCTAATATTATCGGAGCACTCCTTTCCCAACGACTCACTCGTAACTCCCAAATACTCCATAGCATCGACCGCCGCTCTGACGGGTGCGCTCGACGCTATGGCACCGACAGCTATGTTCGGGTACTTCTCCCTAAACCAGGCCGCGAGGTTACCCGCATACGAGCCCCCGAACACAACCCATTTGTTACCTTCAAGTGATAACTTTTTAGTCAAATACAGCGCAAACTGCTCCGTGTCTTTCAGTGCCATTTCACTCGATAAGTATTTTAGGTTTTGAGTGGACAGGTCTTTTGTAGGAATGGATTTTCCGTAATACCGGTGCTCTAACACCACTGCCAACGCGCCGTACTTTTTGGTCATTTCTCCCATATATGTTGCATTGGAAAGCCAGCTTACTTCGGCCGTACCCTCACCGCCAATCATGAGAAATACTGGTCCACCAGTTTTATGGTGTGAATCATCTACATAATATCGCTAATTAAATGTGATATTAATTATTATGTATAATATTTATTTATATAATTTTTACAGTATTTATTTATACTGCAGTTATAACTTACCTGTTTAAAAGTTCTGTTGTCCTGTTTATTAAGATGATCAACTTTTTGATCATAAAACTGTTCGGCAATGAACTGATCCCACGTAACAACTGGTGGTCTAACAAAACCGTATCCACCGTTTGGTCGACCATTCAATAGTCTTAACCCATCATTGGGTTCACAATAAACATACGTACGTACGTAACTTACAAATACGAAAACTAACAAAATATTATAATTCATATTTTATTTATGAATTAAGAACTTTAAGTAAAAAATAAGTTATAAAATAAATTTCAAAATAATTTCTTACTTATATACAGTTTTCATATCAAATAATCCGTGTATTAAACACATTATGTAATTTGGTTTTATTAATAATACATGTATGGTATAAGATATTGCTATAACATGAACTTATGGTACAATAGTTACTAGTAAAAATTATATGAGCACCTCGATGAATTGATAACTAAAATGTATAAAAAATTTTAAAAATTCTTGTGTGTGATTAAATACAAAACTACCATATGTCAAATGAACATAGTTTCACAATTATATTTTTATACATCATTTTAGGAAACATTTCGTTCAATTAGCGTAAAAATAAAACAGTAAATAGAAATAAGAATTAATTCAAAAATGTATAAGAAATAAATGTATAATTTAGCGAGTAATAAGTTAATAAGTTAACATTACTAATAACTATGTACACTATATTTTAGATAAAGTAATTCACATTTTTAAAATTTTGCAACTATTTATGTATTTTGTTAATAACTTTAAACAATATAATTTATCCTAGATTTATTATCATGAATAAATCATGAAAACAATTTTATAATGCAAATAGTAAGAATGTGAACTAATAAAATTAGCTTAAAACAATAACTTATTGATCATATAAATTAAATTTAATACATGTAAGCATTACATTTTTAAGTTAAAAAAACAAAATAGATGTAGATCCCGGTTAATCTCATTATCAAAAATTAAATGCATGTGTTTATTTTCTAATTAAAATCATTTTCAAAAATGTTTTATATAAAATGCACTATGCTGGTTCCCACAAATTATTAGGAGTAATTTTAATAAGGTTTTATAATTAAATTAAATATTTATTTTAAATATTCTGCGATTTGTTGATCAATTAATTTGTGTGCATTTTTCAAACTCTCGGAATCGCTTGGAGTGGAGGCGTAAATATCGCCGCAATGGGAATATTTTCCGCCGGAAATCATCACAGCTTTGGTACTGTTATTAAGGTCTTTAAGGACACTGAGTGCGTGCCAGGGGTCGAGTGACCCGTTAGGGAACATAACGTTAGTCACGTTTGGCTTTAGTCCCCCGTAATAGGCATTCGTCCGGTCGACCGCTTTCTGTATGCTTTGTGGCGTAAACTGTGGTCCGTATACTTGAGCGCACTGTTGGGTATAATACTCGACGGGAATGTTGTGTCCGAAGGGGCTGTTCGGGAGATCACTCGACTGATAGTAACCGAATTCAGTGCACGTCTGATAAGTCCATTGTCTCACTAATAATGCATTAAAATTAATTTGTTAATATATAATTAAGTAGCAAAATGTAAATATTATTATAAATCATATATTGATAAACAATAATAAATTATATTTAATTACATACTCATTTGAAAACCCATTGGATCTCTGGTTGTGTTTTTCAAAGGTGCGATACGGTCTTCATACCGGAAATCATGACATATAGTGCTATCAATCATTTCGCATGCTTTGGCATACCTTTCCAATAGTGTGCCGACTGATGTGTCATTCATTATACCGCGGATCTTATCGACGACAGTCCTGGACATAGCGTTGCCAACAGTAGTAAACATCATTTGCTCCGCGAGATAATGATTATTATTGACATTTTTGCCGTCAAAAGTGTCGCATAAATTTAATGTTTTGCGTAATTTCATCACACCTTCCGGTGTTTTCAGGAGCTCATCCATCTCGAGGTGGGCTTTCCTATTGTATCAAACATTATGTATTACAGTATTACTAATGTTAAAATATGAATTTATACCTAATATTATCCGAGCACTCCTTTCCCAACGATTCACTCGTAACTCCCAAATACCCCATATTGTCGACTGCGGCCAAGACGGGTGCGCTCGACGCTATGGCACCAACAGCTATATTAGGGTACTTTTCCCTAAACCAGGCCGCGAGGTTACCCGCATATGAGCCCCCGAACACAACCCATTTGTTGCCTTCAAGTGATAACTTTTTAGTCAAATACAGTGCAAACTTTTCCGTGTCTTTGAGTGCCATTTCACTCGACAGGTATTTGAGGTTTTGAGTGGACAGGTCTGGTGTGGGAATGGATTTTCCGTAATACCGGTGCTCTAAAAGCACTGCCAAAGCGCCGTACTTTTTGGCCATTTCTCCCATATATGTTGCATTGGACACTAAAGCTGGAAACGCCATACCCTCGCCCCCTATCATGAGAAATACCGGTCCACCAGTTTTATGGTTAGAATCATCTACATAATAAAGCTAACATATTTGATATTAATTATTTTGTATAATGTATTTCTTGAAATATAACTAACCTGTTTAAATGTCCTGTTGTCATGTTTATTAAAGTGATTGAGTTTTTGATCATAAAACTGTTCGGCAATGAACTGATCCCATGTAATAACTGGTGGTCTAACAAAACCGTATCTATCATTGGGTCGACCATTAAATAGTTTGAAATTTCCATTGGGTTCGCAATAAACATAACAAATGTATGCAAACACTAATAAAATAATATTTGAATTCATTTTATTAATATGTTTTAAGTCTAAAAATGATAAATAATAATATGGAATGTATTTTGTACAAATTCTATATAAAAATTCTTTATAATATATTCTTTTTTATACTTTATATACATTATATTTTTATTAAATCCCTTATAAACTAGTTTTAATCCGATTATCAATTGTTTTTAATTATAAAAATGAGTCATACAATTGAGATAAGTCAACTACTTAACAAAAGGGCATAGGTACTTTATTTCAAAATATTAATGACATATCTATGATATCTTATCGATTTATTCAGACATATTATCTTAATAGAAGTGATTCACTAGAATTCACTTTCAATTATCTAATTGCACTTTTTTGAATTATAAGTTTTGTTTCTGATTAGTTATCTGTTCCTCTTAGTTATTTGTCCTTGGTTCTATCTAAGGATCTCTCATTGCAAATAATTCATATTATGTTAAATAGTGACCAGACCAGAAGGGCCAGCTTAACATTAGGGGCCGTCATCGTACTTTATAATAAATTTTTTAATTGTTATAAACATATTGCAAAATATGTTAGAAAATAAACACAACATTTTATAATTATTTTAACTAAATTATTAATTTATTTCAAGTATTCGGCGATTTGTTGATCAATTAATTTGTGAGCGTTTTTCAAACTTTCGGAATCGTTTGAAGTCGAGGCATACATATCCTCACAATGACGCCCGCCTTCAATCATAACAGCTTTAGTACTGTTATTGAGGTCTTTAAGGATACCGAGTGAGTGCCAGGGGTCGAGTGACCCGTTGGGCAACACCACATTTGTCACATTTGGCTTAAGGGCCCCGTAATAGGCATTCGTCCGGTCGACCGCTGTTTGTATGCTGTGCGGCGTATAGTCTGGTCCGTATACCTGAGCGCACTGTTGGGTAAAGTACTCGACGGGAATGTTGTGTCCGAAGGGACTATTTGGGAGATCACTCGACTGATAGTAACCGAATTCAGTGCACGTCTGATATATCCATTGTCTCACTAATAATACATTGAAATTTTAATTGTAATAAGGTTTTAAATAAATTTATGTCACAATATGTAACACATACTCATTTCAAAGTTCACTACATCTATGGTTGTGTTTTTCAAGGGTGCGATTCTGTCTTCGTAGTGGAAGTCGTGACATATAGAGCTGCCTATCATTTCGGTCACTTTGCTATATCTTTCCAATGGTGTGCCGACTAAAGGGTCGCTCATTATTTTACCCACATTTTTGATGCTGTCATCGGAAGTTGCTTTGCCCACAACAGTCCACATCATTTGCTCCGCGAGATAATGATTATTATTGATGTTTTTGCCGTCAAAAGTGTCGCATAAATGCAATATTTTGCGTAATTTTATCACACCTTCGGGTGTTTTCAGGAGCTCTTCAAACTCAAGCGAGGCTTTCCTATTGGTTTACACAACAGAATGTATTACTAATATTAAGTAATAATACAAAGTTATACCTTATGTTTTCGGAGCACTCCTTTCCCAACGACTCACTCGTGACACCCAAATACTCCATAGCGTCGACCGCCGCTCTAACGGGAGCGCTAGAGGCTATGGCACCGACAGCTATATTGGGGTACTTTTCCCTAAACCATGCAGCTAGATTGCCCGCATACGAGCCCCCGAACACAACCCATTTGCTGCCTCCAATTGATAACTTTTTGGTCAAATACAGAGCAAACTGTTCCGTGTCTTTTAGCGCCATTTCACTCGACAGGTATTTTAGGTTTTGAGTGGACAGGTCTGGTGTGGGCATCGATTTCCCGTAATACCTGTGCTCTAACACTACTGCTAAAGCGCAATACTTTTTGGCCATTTGTCCCATATATGTAACATTGGACACCCAAACTGGTGTCGACACACTCTCACCGCCAATCATGAGAAATACCGGTCCAGCAGTTTTATGATGAGTGTCGTCCACATAATAACGCTATACATATTTAATGTTAATTATATTGCAAAATATATTGTTATATATTTCAATATGATGTACCTGTTTAAAAGTTCTGTTGTCCTTTTTATTGAAGTGATCAACTTTTTGATCATAAAACTGTTCCGCAATGAACTGATCCCATGTTATAACTGGTTGTCTAACAAAACCGTATCTATCGTTTGGTCGACCATTAAATAGTCTTAACCCCTCATTGGGTTCGCAATAAACATAACTTATAAATATAAAAACTAGTAAAATATTATAATTCATATTTTTATTTTGTTTTAAAACTTTAAATAAAAACAATTTATGAAATATATTTTTAAAGATTCTTTTATTTATATACATTTTATAAATCATTTAATCAATGTTTCAAACACATTGTGTAATTTTAATGTGATTTTATTAAGAATACACTTATGAACAGAATTTATCAAGGTCTTTAATAATGAGATGTAGTAATTTTTTAATTAGGTAATTTATCATACATCACATAGAAACTCATGTAAAAACTATTCTAATAAAAAGTGTATCTTATGTTATTTTATGGAAACATCCCCATATTAGAATATAGCCATATGATTAACATAAGATCCCATGTTAAATCCCATAGGGCGGGAGAGGGGTAGCCTAACAAATTTATAAACCACACTTCTTATACATAAATTGCAGCTAATAATGAGTCATAAGTCGACAATTTAGATAAAACTACCGCACTTAACAAAAGTGCACAGGTGCTTTATCTCAAAATATCAATAAGTATATAGTGTATTGATTTATTTAGTCAGATTATCTTAATTAGATTGAATTCACTATATATCACTTTTTAAATAAATTGCACCTTTCATTGATTATTATTGTAATTAAAATTTTATAATTTGTGAACTGTATTTATATTTAGTGATATTTTTACATTTAATTAAATAAATTACATTTTAAATATTGTTATATTAGTTAGTTGGGTTTAAAATGAACATATATTGCTTATGAGTTAACATTTAAGTTACGTTCATAACTTTAATTATGGATTATTTATTAGTAGTGTTAATTTTTTCGCCAAATTTATAGCTCAATATAAATAATCGCACAAATATTATAAACATCTAAAATATAGAATTTATAATTAATATTTAAAATAACAATTAAATGTTTGATTGAATGAATGCCTACTTTGAAGGCAACACTTCTGGTGATAACGTATTGATTACTACACGAAAAGCCAATCAATTTGTTTCTATCACTCACTCTCTCAATGCATACCAATAACTATAAGACAATACAAATAATTAAAAATTTACAAAATAACGATAAAATAATTTTATACCTTTAATTTGTTTCTTAATTTGATATGTTGTCTGTTTTTATTATAATATTTATTTAGGAGTTTATAAATTTTGCTAATATTATAGTTTATATCAGACGTGAATATATTTAGTGTATAAATTGATAATAAAGTTGTGACAACAAAAGTAATTAAAGCTACTTTTGCTATTAAAATATTGCTATAACCTAAAATCAGATATAATACCATTGCATTTAAAGGTAATAATGTAAACGTTATAATAAAATTAATATTTCGCCAAAATTTGTTATACATATCTATATCTAAACAAAGATTGTTTTGATTTAATTGTATTTCATTGACAAACGTGTAATTTATTAAAAATATATTGGATTTTATATTAATATCGTTTATATATCCAATGAATCTGTACTTAAAATAATAACAAACAACAAAATAATAATAAATCGTGTATAAGATAACTGGAAATGTAGTTGCTATAAATACCATAATCAAAATAAATGCTATTATACCATAAACTATAAAATCTTGAAAATAATACAATACCATAATAAAAGTGAATGCTAAAATACTTAAACAAATCATCATTGTGAATGAAACTATCAACAATTTATGCATTGTACGAATTTTATAAATAAATTTTTTGATTAAACGTTTATCACATAAATTAATTGATTGATAAGTCTTATGGCCATTGATGGCAAACATGATGTCAAACCATTTATAATGATTTTTTGGTGAAAAATTTAGTACATAGAATAACATTAAAGACATAATTAAAACCATTATAGCTAATACACATGATATTGATGTATTAATTTGTATTAAATGATGTATCAAATCGCAGTAATAAATATGTAATGTTTTATCTAACTGAACTTTACATAGATAAAATGCATAACGAATTATATTTAATATAATTATTATGATTATTAAAAATACTTTCAGTTTTTGTATAATTAGTTGTTTTGTTGAAACAATTGTATGTCTGTTGACATCATATCTACAAAATATCCAATACTTATACAACGGTTCGCTTATATCCATACTATTTGATACATCCATTGATGAATATTAAATCAAATGTTAAATAGATTTAGTACAAAATAAAATCTAATTATTTAAGATATTGAGATAGTTAAGTTGTTTTTATAACATAACCATATAAATAGTTAACTAATATACAGTATTCATAGTAAATTGACATTATAAGTACTTATCAAGAATTTTATTTATTACATAATAATATGTACAAAATATTGAAATAAGTAATGTTTGAATAGTTCATGTAAATTTAAATAAATGTAAATACTGTAATTCAGTATGATAAATTAAATAATGTAAAGTACAAAATACTGGAAACGTTAAATAAGTTTAAAATATAAATTAATTAATATGGATATAAAAATATCAATATTTAGACATAACTAGAAATCCAATTAAATGTACATATTTAACTAACAATATTAATGTTAATATGCACACATTAATAATTGACTAAATGTACTAGACTTTATTAAACAAACAATTATAAGTCTAAACTGGAACTATTTAATAAAATTAAATAAATAAATTTAATTTAATAAAAATGCATTTATATAAGTTATTGGCAATTTACATTAGTTTATTAACTATTAATTAAAATTTATGTTTTCAATTTTAAATAACTAATAATTTGTTGTTCAATTAATTTATGTGCATTAATCATAGTCGGGGGGTCCGCGGGGGTCGAGGCAACCATATCCCCGCCGTGACCGTAGTTTTCAAGTATAACGGCTTTAGTGCTATTGTTTAGGTCGTTGAGGACACCGATGGACTTCCAGGGGTCGACCGACCCGTTAGGGAACACAACGTTAGTTACGTTTGGCTTTAGGCCCCCGTATGTGGCGACTGTCTGGTTGACCGCTTTCTGTATGGTTTGGGCCGTTATTTGTGGGCCAAATATATCGGTGCACTGTTGGGCGTAATACTCGACGGGCAGGTTGTGTCCGAACGGACTGTCCGGTGCGTCAGTGGTGGGAAAGTCGGCGAATTCAGTGCACGTCATATAAGTCCATTGTCTCACTATATGCATGGTAAAAATAAATTTATAATTAACTATAAACATGGTTATACAGTGTGTTAATCCAATTACATACTCATTCCCTTGCGATCAATAGTTGTATTTTGTAGGGACACGACATACTTGTTATGATTTACTTCAAAGCAGTTCAGTGTTTGACCCACGAGTTGCAGTTTTGCATACCTTTCCAATGGTGTACCGCCTGAGGGGTCGTTCATTGTCTTAACAATCTTATCGACGCTTGTGTTGTACTGGACGTGCATTACGACAGTTGATCCCAAGAGTGACGACAAATACCGATTATCATTGATATTCTTGCCGTCAAACGATTGGCACAAATTCAATGTTTTGCGTAATTGTATCACACCTTCCGGTGTTTTCAGCAGGTTTTCAATCTCCAGATTGGCTTTCCTACCGATAGTAAGCAACACATTATATTAAACACATATTATTTACATAGATATACAACACACACATACCTAATATTATCGGAGCACTCCTTTCCCACCGCTTCGCCAACGACTCTCAAATAACCCGTACAGTCGTAAGTTGAGCCGACGGGTGCGCTCGACGCTACGGCACCGGCAGCTATATGCGGGTACTTTTGTCTAAACCATGATGCTAGTTTGCCCGCATACGAGCCCCCGAACACAACCCATTTGCTGTCTTTAAGCGATAACTTTTTGGTCAAATACAGCGCAAACTGTTCCAAGTCTTTGAGCGCTAATTCAATGGTCAAGTATTTGAGATTTCCAGTGGACAGGTCTGGTGTGGGAACCGATCGGCCGAAGTATCGGTGCTCTAACGTGACGGCCAAAGCGCCGTACTTTTTGGCCATTTGTCCCATAAATGAGGCGGCAGTCAGATATGCCGCATCCAGTTCTGATTCACCACTAATCATTAGAAATACTGGTCCACCAGTTTTATAATGGGAATCATCCACATAATAGAGCTAGCATATTTTATTATTAGAATTTGTTATTTAATACTTTGTAAATTAATTTTGTTTAAACACGACTTACCTGTTTGAAAGTTGTGTTGTCCTGTTTATTGAAGTGATCGACTCTCTGCTCAAACCACTGTTCCTCCGGTTGTCGAGTGAACTGATCCACTGGTTTAAGAATCGGTGGTCTAATAAAGCCGTGTCTATCGTTCGGTCGACCAATAAATAGTTTGAAACCCAAATCGGGTACACAATAGACATTATAGATGAATACAAAACTCAATAAAAGTATTGTATAATTCATTTTTAGTTATATTATTATAATTAAAAATATAAATAACAAAAATTAACATTGATTATATTTTGTAAAAGTGTCTCTTTATATAGTGTTCTCAAGTGTTTATAAATTGTTTATCAAGTACTTTATGTAAAGTACTTTTATTACGAGCATGAATTATTAAGTCTACGGTTGAGATAAAACTACTTAACAAAAGTGCATAGAGTGCTTTATTTCTAAATTTTTAGTATATAAAAATATATCCATTGATAGCTTATTAAGTTATATTATCTTCACTAAATTGGAATTTTATTTTTAATTGGAAAATTAGCACTTTTTGTTCTCAACGATAACATTTTATTAGTACATTAGATTCGAGTAACTTTATATTTATTCATTAACATGAGGTCAAATATGTACTACAACTAATGATGTTAATTCTAGTTAATGTGATTCACGTGAATTCCTAAATACTAAAAATTCTTTTATACAAACATTTATAATTATAAACAGGACACTAAGATGTCAGAAATAAATTTAATATTAATTAAAAATTAAGATAACTACAAACTTATCTTCTCCTAAGGTTATTATATTCTAATTGAAAACATGTGAATTAAATAATTGACAACTTTGCAAAGTGTGTTGAAATTTCTTTTGCTTAACCTACATTGTGATTAACTAATAGCTTTGCATGAAATTCTTATTATAATAATTAAATTGTAAAAATTGGATAACGGTAAATTAAATATTGATGTTTATTATTATAGATTTTATCAAAAACGCATTATTATTTTAGTTTACAAACACGACACTGGAAATTTAAAAAAAACAAAAATTTAATTATTATTAATTATGTATTTATTTTAAATATTCTGTGATTTGTTGTTCAATTAATTTGTGGGCATTTCTCAAACTCTGAGTATCTTTTGGTGTCGATGCCATCATATCTCCCCCGTGAGCGTAGCCTTCAATTATAACGGCTTTAGTGCTATTATTTAGGTCATTGAGTACACCGATTGCTTTGCAGGGGTCGAGTGACCCGTTGGGGAACACAACGTTTGTAACCGCAGGCTTACGGCCCCCGTAGAGGGCGTTTGTCCGGTCGACCGCTTTCTGTATGCTTTGGGCCGTGAATTGTGGGCCAAATATATCGACGCATTGTTTGATATAGAAGTCTACGGGAATGTTATGACCAAAAGCAGAGTCCGGGAGATCAGTGGTTCGGAATAAACCAAATTCATTGCATACTTGATAAGTCCATTGTCTCCCTATTAAAAGGTGTACATAGAAATAAATTTAATTTTTATTTTATTAATTTTTTTATTATAAAATTTATGGTATATTACCATAAAATTAACATAATAAATGATTTTACTGTGTCTAATTATAGAAATATGAAAATAATTTTGATATGAATGATTATTAGTAATGGTTTTTTTTACATGTACATACCCATCGCTTTGGGATCAATAGTTATATTTTTTGCGCTTTTAATTGCTTCGACATAATTAATATCATTGCAAACAAACGTATTGTCCATATCTGTCGCTTTGGCATACCTTTCCAGTGGTGTACCGCCTGACGGGTCGTTCATTAACTTACGGATGCCATCGATATTTGTGTTGTACTGAACTATAGTCGCAATATTAAACATCATTGCAGCGATTAATAGCCGATTATTATTGATATTTTTGCCGTCAAAAGTATCGCATAAATTAAATGTTTTGCGCAATTTTATCACACCTTCAGGTGTTTTAAAGAGCTCCTCCATGTCTTTGTGGGCATTCCTACCGGTCATAAAAAAAGATATTATATAAACAATAAATTTTATATAATATTAGTTACATTGATATACAAACTCATACCTAATATTATCGGAGCACTCCTTGCCCAACGACTCGCTAACGACTCCAAAATAGTTAATAAAATTGAAAATATCCTCTACGGTAGCGCTGGAGGCTATGGCACCGACAGCTATGTTGGGGTACTTCTCCCTAAACCAGGCCGCGAGAGCGCCCGCATACGAGCCCCCGAACACAACCCATTTGCTGCCTTCAAGTGATAACTTTTTAGTCAAATACAGTGCGAACTGTTCCGTGTCTTTCAGCGCCATTTCACTCGACAGATATTTCAAGTTTTGAGTGGACAGGTCTGGTGTGGGAACAGATCTCCCGTAATACCGGTGCTCTAACACCACTGCCAAAGCGCCAAACCTTTTGGCCATTTGTCCCATATATGTAGTATTTGTGAGCCAAAATGTACCTGCCTCACTTTCACCACTAATCATGAGGAGTATTGGTCCACCTTTTTTATAATAGGAATCCTCGACGTAATAGAGCTAAAGTACCGTAAATAAATTATTCATGTACAGTTTAGGTTATATGTAAATTAATTGTATGTATACTGTACATATATTTTATAATAGTTTTATTAATTTTTTAAATAATATTGTTTGTAATGTATTATTCTCTTGTATATCCAAATTATGATTACCTGTTTGAAAGTCCTGTTGTTGTGTTTATTGAAGTGATCAACTTTTTGGTCAAACCACTGCTCCTCAAACAGAGTATCTGTATTAACAACCGGTGGTCTAATAAAACCGTATCTATCATTGGGTCGACCCATAAATTGTTTGTATCCAAAATTGGGTTCACAAAAGACATTATAAATAAACAAAAAGACTAGTATAAGAATCTTTGAATTCATTTTTGAAGTTATTTTTGTGCTTTAAATAACAAAACTATGTAAATTATATTTTGCAACAACTTTTTATAGTTATTGTTTATGACTTTAGTTTAATCTATGTAACAATTGGTATTAAGTATAAATAATCTTCAATAAGTCTACAATTGAGATGATAAGTCTACAAACTACTTAACAAAAGTGCATAAGGTGCATGATTTCAAAACATAATAACTATTACTATTGATTATTATTTTAGTTATAATAATTATTATTATAACTGTATAAGAATTTCACTTTTTATTTAAAAACAGGCACTTTTCATACTAACAAGTATGAACTAAAACTACATTTATTTATATTGAACATGTAAATGTGTAAATTATGATTCTACAAGCTACACCAGTGCCTAATTAAAATAGTTATTAATCAATTTACTATTAATATGATTATTTGATTTAAAATAGCTGATTTAATGACTAAACTATGATTTATTTATGACATTTATTCATGCAGTAGACTTTCTATCTACTAAACATTATCGGGGGTATATTGTTGGACACAATAATATATAATAAAATAGGTGTTATTAAAGTACTGATATTACAATTTTATTATATATATATATAATTATGATCATTTTACAAGTTTACTTAATAAATAAAGATTTAAAAATAAATACAATATGTTTGACAAATAGTGATTTATTTCAAATATTCTCCAATTTGCTGTTCAATCAATTTGTGGGCGTTTTTCAAACTCTGGGTATCCGATGGACTCGAGGCCCACATATCTTGAACATGAGAGTAGTTCTCAATCATCACAGCTTTAGTGCTATTATTGAGGTCTTTAAGGATACCGAGTGAGTGCCAGGGGTCGAGTGACCCGTTGGGGAACACCACGTTTGTTACGTTTGGCTTTAGACCGCCGTAATAGGCATTCGTCCGGTCGACCGCTTTCTGTATGCTTTGAAGCGTGAATTGCGGGCCAAAAATATCGGCACATTGTTGAGCATAATATTCAACGGGAAAGTAGTGACCAAAAGCATAGTCCAGGGCATCACTGGTCTGGAAGTAACCAAATTCAGTACACGTCTGATACATCCACTGTCTTCCTAATAATGCATAAAAAATTAATTTATGATTAATATTGAAATATTAAGCATCTCTTAACAAATTCAACGAACACTTTATAGAATTTAAAAACGTTATAAAAAATTATTTATTTTATTGTATCAATTGGTAATACTAAAGTAATACTTTATAAATGCAATTAATATAAATATAAGTTATATAACTTACCTATTTTGTGTGGATTAATAGTTGTATTTTTGAGTATTGCAATTTGAGTATAATTAACGTAATTACAGGTAAACGAGTCGTTAATGTAAGTCCATGTCTGTAGTTTCGCATACCGTTCCAGTGGTGTCCCGCCTGAGGGGTTGTTCATTGTGTTAATAACACCGCTTATATTTGAGTTGCTCTGAACCGCAACCGCGATATCCCACATCATTTCCTCGGCTAACCAACGGTTATCGTTGACAGTTTTGCCGTCAAAATTGTCGCACAAATTCAATATTTTGCGTAATTTTATCACTCCTTCCGGTGTTTTCAGGAGATTTTCCATTTCCATGTATGCTTTCCTACCGATCATAACAATATATAAAATATTATAATTACATAGATATGCAATTCATACCTGATATTATCGGAGCATTCCTTTCCCAACACTTCAATAATGACTCCTAAATAGTTTTTAAAGTTGACTACAAGGTTGACGGGTGCGCTCGACGCTATGGCACCAATAGCTATATTTGGGTACTTCTCTCTAAACCAGGCCGCGAGGTTACCCGCATACGAGCCCCCGAACACAACCCATTTGTTGCCTTCAAGTGACAACTTTTTGGTCAAATACAGTGCAAACTGTTCCGTATCTTTGAGTGCCATTTCACTCGACAAGTATTTCAGATTTTCAGTGGACAGGTCTGGTGTGGGAACGGATTTCCCGTAATACCGGTGCTCTAACACCACTGCCAGTGCGCCAAACTTTTTAGCCATTTCTAGCATATAAGTAGCATTTGAGAGCCAAAATCTACTTGCCTCAATTTCACCACTAATCATGAGAAACACTGGACCATCTATTTTATAATGCGAATCCTGTACATAATAAAACTAATGTACATTTTATTAGTATGTATAATATAACTTCTTATAATATTTTATACTTAAACACTATATACCTGTTTGTAAGTCCTATTGTCTTGTTTATTGAAGTGATCGACTCTCTGGTTAAACCAATGTTCTTCATACTCATTGGTATTCATATCAACCGGTGGTCTAATCATACTTAAGCTGTTCATCGGTCGATTCATAACCATCTTGAAACCCAAATTGGGTTTACAATAAACATTACATATAAATACAAAACCTAATACAACAAGTTTAGAATTCATTTTCTATTCATTTATATTTTAATGCTTCAGATAATAGAAAATATTATAATATTGATATATATTTTCAAATTGTTTGACTTTATATATTCTGGTAAATTTGTGGTGAATGGCAAATATAATAGGTATATATTAGGTATAATTGACAGGTAATGAGTATAATAGACTCATATCGTATGATTATGGTGTGATCGAAGAATGTGCTGATTGGATAGAGAGCCCACCATATTCATTGTGATTACTCACGGGAAAATCACCAGGAGTGAGAATATCATATTCACGACAAATTAATTATATAATTTATTTTCAACTGTAATAACATATGGATAGGTTTAGGATAAGATACAAAGTACTAAACTAACATATTCATACTTAAACGTGAATTGTGATTGTTTTGATTGTACAACAAGAGTGAACACATCTTTACTATTAGATAAATATTGAGACTGTTTTAATATAGAAATTTTAGAACAAAATTTTACTCTTTTGCACTTTTAAAATCGATATTATTATATTTAAATCGTGCAAAATGCAATAAAATACTATTAGTTTAAATTTGTTAAAACTGTAGATAAAAATAATTATTTTAAGTATTATGAATTTTTTTCCAATTAAAAAGTAAATAGTTTTTAAAATTTAAAACATGTTAAATGGTAGAGCGAGAGGTCAACTACAATTAGAGATATTTATTAATAATGTCAAATTTTCCAATACTATTGTTACATTGTTATTGGATTAGCATTATGAATAAACTTCACAATATTGATAGAGTTAATTCTCATGTTAAATGGTTGTTCAAAATGAAGTCTATGTTTAAATTTTGTATAATAAATAATTATCAATTTTAATATTTAAACAAAATAATATATTTATTTAAATAATATGTTATTATTAATATTTATGTTGATACAAAAAAGTGAACACAATTCATAATCTATTAAATTATTTTATTTCAAATATTCAGCAATTTGTTGTTCAATCAATTTCTGGGCGTTTTTTAAACTCTGGGTATCCGACGGACTCGAGCCATACATATCGCCGCCGTGTGAGTAGTTCTCAATCATCACAGCTTTGGTACTGTTATTAAGGTCTTTAAGAACACTGAGTGCGTGCCAGGGGTCGAGTGACCCGTTAGGGAACACCACGTTTGTTACGTTTGGCTTTAAACCCCCGTAATAGGCATTCGTCCGGTGAATGCCGTTCCGTACGGTTTGAGCTGTTATTTGTGGGCCAAAAATATCAACACATTGTTGGATATAATACTTAACGGGAATGTTATGACCAAAAGCACAGTCCGGGAGATCTGTTGCTTCAAAGTATCCCAATTCAGTGCACGTCTGATACACCCACTGTCTCTCTATGAATACCAGATAATAAATACATGTTTAGTATTAAAATAATTTACACGTACATTATTATAACAATTGCAATATATTTGACGATTTAAGTTAATAACCTAGATTTTAAAATTATGTCTATGCATTCAATTATAATAATAAACTTAATGAATTGTGTTAATCAATTACATACCCACTATCTTTGGATTAATTGTAATGTTTTTTACTTTTGCGATATAATCGGCATATATGCCGATTATATATAAATATATTTAACATCATTACAAGCGTTGGTTTGATTAAAGTAATCCCAAGTTTGTAGTTTCGCATACCTTTCCAGTGGTGTACCGCCTGAGGGGTCGTTCATTGTCTCAATGATATGACTTATATTTGTATTGTACTGAACGGTAAGCGCTATATTGTTCATCATTTCTTGTGCTAACCAACGATTATCGTTGATATTCTTGCCGTCAAATGATTGGCACAAATTCCATGTTTTGCGTAATTTTATCACACCGTCCGGTGTTTTTAGTAGGTTTTCTATAACCATGTTTGCTTTCCTACCAATAATACACAAACAATGCATAAGATATTGTAATTTAATTATATCTAATTCATACCTAATATTATTGGAGCACTCTTTTCCCAGCGATTTGCTAACGACTTTTAAATAGTTCATATTATTGACCGTAGTCTCGACGGGTGCGCTCGAGGCTATGGCACCGACAGCTATGTTGGGGTACTTCTCCCTAAACCAGGCGGCGAGAGCGCTTGCATACGAACCCCCGAACACAACCCATTTGCTGCCTTCAAGTGACAACTTTTTGGTCAAATACAGTGCAAACTGTTCCGTGTCTTTGAGGGCTAATTCAATGGACAAGTGTTTCAAATTTTGAGTGGACAGGTCTGGTGTGGGAACAGATTTTCCATAGTACCGATGCTCTAACACCACTGCCAGTGCCTCGTATTTTTCAGCCAGTTGTCCCATATATGTTGCATTTGTGAGCCAAAATGTACCTGCCATATTCACCACTAATCAGTAAAAACACTGGACCACCCTTTTTATAATAGGAATCCCCGACGTAATACAACTAATGTAAAATATATTGCATTTTATTATACATTTTGTTGGTATTTATTATACAACTTAACACAGTTTTAACTGTTAACATGTTATACCTGTTTAAAAGTTCTGTTGTCCTGTTTATTGAAGTGATCGACTCTCTGGTCAAACCACTGTTCTTCAAACTGATCCATAGTATTCATATTAACCGGTGGTCTAATCATACCATACCTGTCCATTGGTCGGCCCATAAACATATTGAAACTCATATTGGGTTCACAATAAACATTACATATAAATACAAAAATTAATATAATGACAATATAATTCATTTTATATTTATGTTTTGATACTTTAAACAATAAAAGTAATATAATTTAAGTTTGGAAAAGATTTATTTTTATATATAATCTGTCAAATTAATTGCAAAACATTTAAATATATCTATATATTAGTAATATATTATAAGAATGTATGTTTGATAACGTCTTATATCGATAAAGCTAAAGTACTTAACTAACTCATATAGAATTCAAGAATGCAACATTTCAATCACTAATTCTGATCGTACATATTATTAGATAAATATTGAAAATATTGTGAATTAAAAACTCGAGGACAATTATTCTATTAATCATGTTGCTTTAATGTTAGAAAATTGATTTAAAATTACCTGAAATAAATTCACCTTGGTATTTAGTAAATATTATATTTTAATCTTAATACGTGATATATTTGACATTCTAAAAACTGTGTACCTGGGGTAACTGGGTTCTTACTAGCCTGCATTAATTCTAAACTGTGTCATCTTATTAACCTAAATTTAAATAAAACTTTAGGTAAATATAATCAAACAATCGACAATTTAAATTTAATTTTGTTGTTTTAATATATTGAAGTATCCCAGGTAATTCAATTTTTTAAAACCCATTTAGTTATCAAATGGCCTAAGCCTTTTTAGTTGAAATAGACATGTTTTATATGGTCCTCAAATGCATTTAAATAAATAAATTGTAATGAATTTATATAATAACCAGGGAATTGCATTTACCTATACCACCTATTTTTAGCGGTTCATAGCTATACCCCCAGACTCGGGATGTGAACCGATCATGTATTGGGGGTCAGTTTACCGAAAGTTTATTTTAACTATATTTAACTAT